AAGCTTGGCCTGAGCCTCGCTCTGACACTGGAGCAGGCGTTGGGAGCAGGGAGAGGCCAGGCAGTGGGAGCAGACACCTCCAAGCCTGCGGGGGCAAGGGCAGCCTTCCCAGGCCCCTGACAGTGCAGAGATGCCCGGTCTGCAGCCATGGCTTGACTGGCTGCAGCTGCGCCCGGGGAAGGCCAAGCTCCCACCCTGTCAACTGAGAATAGGGCGGAGCTTCGGCCTGTTCCTGGCTCCCGCCAGCTCTATGGAGCAGGCAGCCCTGTCCCACAGCCTCCCCCAATGCAGCCAGCACTGTGGCAGTGGCCGTTCTAGACGGGCCACAGATGCCATCAATATGAAGATCTAATAAATAACAAATAGCATCTCCTTTCTAAGGAGAAATATTGCACTTTTCAGAACCCTAAAGTTCTGAAACTTTGGGGAGAAATTTAAACACATTTACTGCTTATTTTAAGTAACTTTTAAGCCTTGAAAGTCAGTCAGTTAGTTTGTAAACCCTGAAGAATGTTAATATATCTGGGCTACTCACCAAAGTATTAGTCTTGGGGTGCTATAACAGTACTGTACTATGTTCAGATAATAATCACAATCACAAATTTGCAATGACAATTTTTCTATTATTACAATTCTTAAAAATATATCAAAGTAGAGAGAATAGTATAATATGCCCACCCCAGCCAGGCACATTGGCTCACACCTGCAATCCCAGCACTTTGGGTGGCTGAGGCAGGAGAATCACCTGAGATCAGGAGGTCGAGATCAGCCTAGCCAACCTGGTGAAACCCCATCTCTACTAAAAATACAAAAATTAGCCGGGCGTGGTGGCAGGCACCTGTAATCCCAGCTACTTGGGAGGCTGAGGCAGGAGAATCACTTGAACCTGGGAGGCAGAGGTTGCAGTGAGCCAAGATTGTGCCAATGTACTCCAGTGTGGGCAACAGAGTGAGACTCCATCTCAAAAAAAAAAAAAAAAAACCTATCCAGCTTCAACAGTTCTTAACATATGACTAATTTGGTTTCATTTTTGCTTTTACTTTCCCTCCAACCTTCATTATTTTGGGGCAAATTCTAGACATACTATCTCTTCAATTAACTTTTCCCCAATTTTTTAAAAATAATGGACATCCAGGATGCTTCCGGATTGGGGCTAGTATGAATATAGTTGATAAGAGCACCCCTGAAAAGTCTTAAAACCTAGGATTAGGTTTTAATTTAATTGCTAGGTCATGAGGAGGTGTCAGATTAGTTTTATTAAGAAACCACCAAGGCTTCTTGCAGTTTGTTGAGAGTACTGGATGTTCCAAATATCTTTACCAATACTTGAAATCAGTATTTAATTTTAGCTGTCCTAATAGATGGGTTCTGCTGAATTAACTAATAAACGCATTTTATTTCTCTTGTGTTTTAAAAACAACTAAATTACATAATCCACAGACTTTATTTTGGGTTAGTTTTCCAAGCCAAAAAAAAAAATGTGTTTTAAAAAAGAATTAAAACTATATTAAAATAAACCAATGTGTAATTCTCTTCATATCATTAAAAAAAAATTTCTGCTGTAATGTGTTACATTAAGAAAGAAGCTAAAATTTCTTTACATCAAAATGCTGTAACAGAAAGGTGTGCAGAGTACAACACTGTGGACTTAAAAATCATAAGGCATATGAGGAAAACAGAGTTGGAACAACCACTAAAAATCTAGATGGCTTTGTAAAAACAAAAATTATTTTGTTTGTAAAAATAGAGGACAAACAAAATAATCGGCCCGACTAAATCCCCCCAGGCGCATGCACTGAAGTCACTGTCAGATGGTGTCTTTCCGCCTTCAATCCTGAGCCACTGATTTCCTTCTTCGTGAGACCAGCACACAACTTCCAAAACAGATCGGTTTCATCAAAACTAGGTATTGGATCCAGGGGAAAGCTTAATTCTGTCCATCGATCATGTGAGCACAGGAGCAAAACGTCTTCACAGCCTCTTCACTCAGCTGCAGCTTCATCATCACAGCACTGCACGAGGCAAAGCAGCTCATGGGTCCTTGAAACCAGTCACTTCTCTCCCTAAAGGAAGGTACTGCAAGATTTTCACCCTCTTTCTTAAAATAGTCATACTTTCTCTTTAATTGTGATCACTTTTTTGTTCAGCACAGAACATCAAAATGCTGGGGAAAAGTGCGTATGAAAAAACAACGCAATTTCTAGTTTGTATCAACATTGTTTTCTATCTGATTCCCATTAAGGAAACACATACTGAAGCAAAACAAACTGAATGAGAAAAGCCCATTTCCAAAAAGGAACGAAAAACTCATTGAATTTAACTCTTGCAGCATGAAATTTTGTCCAAGCTGTCTCATTTCTTGGTCAATATATCAGTATATTCTATGAGTGATTTCTATTTCCTCTGAGGGTTTTTTTTTTTTTTTAACATTTTCATGGACTGGGATAAACTTCTCTTTTCCAAATTTGACACATACAAAAACGCAGATTGATTTTGTTTACAGGAATATGAATGAAGCAGGTAAAAAGTAATGATCACGTTGTGAGTTCAAATGTATGTCATAAGGTTAATTTGCAGAATCCTAGATAGCATTCTTAGAATTAACAACTGTACTTTTTAAAATTTCTTCAACACTTTAAACTGTTATTCCAACACCAGATTCTCATCGGAATACTCACGTTGCAATTAAATTAAAGATTAGGTTTAGTACCCCCACATAACTGTCATCCATTTCTCAATGTTCATCACTGAATAGTTCTTTGTGTAAATTCCCTTTCCCGTTCCAATACGGTTTTGCTTAAGAGTACCATTCCAGAACTTGATCCACTTTAGCCTGACCTCCAGGAAGCATCTTGTGTGAAAAGCCATGTGAACATCATACACAAGATTACCCCAGAATATTGTGTGGGCCACCATGGAAGGTGATGATACCTCTAAGGCAGCAGCAGGAGCAGCAGTGAGAGGGGCTCCGAGCTGTGACTTCATCATACTCATCTTCACTTACATCCCTGAAGGGCACATTAATACCTGAAGGGCATTCTTGTACCAGGATTATGTTCAGATAACCTCGTATCATTTGAAAACGCATATTTGGAGGGCGGGGGTGGGGGGGAAATCTGAACTATGTTTCATTAGAATAAACTGAAGCACAGAGATATTTTTAATATGCTAAAAGCTGATGCTGATTGCCATTTATGCTGAAAGAAAAAATAAACAGTGCATACAGGCAAATCTGCACAAAACCAATCAGGCAAAGTGTACGCAAATTTGGGAAGAATATCTCCTCAGATGTTACTAAAAATAATTCTCCATTATCATGGGTGCCACCTTCAATGCTAAAGCTGAATAACCTCTAAAGAAACTAAAAACTGTTTGAAAGTCTGAATTCAAATAACCATGAATTCTTAAGTTAAAATGTAAAAAAGTGTGTAGGTGGGGAGGGGGCCATGTGTGTATGTGTTTTTCGTTCTTTTTTGAATCAGAGTATCACAGGTCAGGAGGATCTAGCTTACAACATCCTTTCAGTTCTCAAACCTTTAAATGTGTTCCTTTTATAGTTTAGCTTTTTATCTTTCAACAATTTTCAGACTTACAAAAAGGTTCTCAGATTACCAAAAAATTCCCATTTTCCCTGAACCAAGATTCCTTAAATGTTAACACTGCAGAAGGATGCTCCTTTATCCTTAAATAGTTCAGATCAAATTTTTTAAAACACAGGACATGCTCTTAAATAATGACGTACAAATATCAAAATCAGGAAGTTAACATTCATTGATGCAATACCATGATCCAGTCTATAAACTTTATTTAGATTTTTCCAATTGTCCCAATAACGTCCGTTATAGCAACAGAAAATCCTGGCTTGTGAGTTCATTCAGTTTTTCACGTCTCTTTAAACTCTTTTTACGTAGAACATTTCTTCGTCTTTTTTAATCTTTCCTGTTATTGACACTTTTGAAGCGTAAAGGCCAGTTAGGTTGTAGAAATTCCTTCGTTGGAGTTTGTCTGATGTTTTCTTGGGATGAGATTCAGCTTATGCTTTCTTGGCAGGAGTTACCGGAGAAGCGATATTGAGTACTTCTCAATGCGTCCTATCAGGAGGCAGGTGGTATCAGTTTATCCCTTTAGTGGTGATAGGGATTTTGATCACTTGGTAAAGTGATATCTGATCAGTTTCTCCACTGCAAAGTTACTATGTTCTTTTTGTAATTAATAAATATCTTATGGGGAGATACTTTTAGACTATGTCAATATCCTGTTTCCATTAATTTTTTACCTATTAGTTTTAGCAAAATGTTTTTAAATTCCTTTTGAGAACTTTCTAGGTAAGTTTAACATTAAGCTTCTTTTATCTAATCTCTACCTTAACAAATGGATGCTGCAGCCAGTGTCTATCCTCTGGCTGAGGCATGGACACTGGCTGTAGCATCCATTTACTAGGTGTAGACAGTTCTCTGAAGCATGGTTAAGATTTCAGGAATGCACTCATTCCAGCCTCTCGGTCAAAACCACCAGAAGGAAATAAAATCCATCTTTTTCTAACATGAAAATGGTAGTGTACCCTTGAGGGATTTTATACTGGCAGGTGAGAGCTGTATAGTGTTCCCTGTCACCAGCACTCAGGAAACAATGCAGTACAGTTACATAGTTTTATATCAAGATTCCCTTATCTCATGGTTTCAAGAACTCCTCTGAAAAAGTAATATATGTCCTGTAACAAAAATGTACACACTTGTTCTTAAACATTTTTCTTTAAAATATTTCATTTTTTTCCAAAAAGACACCCCCCCCACCCCGCCCCCAGTTCCCCCATAAAAGAGTTTTCAGGTGAATTTTTACCCGCCGGTTTTACTCATCCATTCCCCACCACCACCTTTAAAGCTTTTTTCCTCCCCTACTCAAGACCTTACTAGACTGGAAGCAATCTGGCAAAATCTGTTAGAAGGTGAAGAGAGGGAAGAGCGCTCTTCTAGCCCTAGATTCTATAAAACTGTCCTTACCTGCTGTGGAAAACAGGTGCGGACTGAGTGCTCTGTGTAACCAAAAGATGGCCCTTCAAAGACAGCTGTTGGGAGCTTCAGAACTTCCTTCAGAAACTGGTCAAACTTGCTAAATATCATTAAGCCATTGGAATCTGACATCTGGGAGAAAACATCTATGAGAACAAAACCAAATAAAGTCAAGCTATAAGGAAATATCAGCTTTTTATAAATGGCTCTATGTCATTTGTATACCAAACAAAAAGTATCATTAAAAAAGTGTCATAAAATTATTGTGACTTTTAGTTAATATTAAAACTATTCTCATCCTTATTAACACTGTGTGGCTACCCTGCAGACGAGGCCCCTCTCTTCTACTCACTTAATATTCTACCTAAACATTAAATCAAATAACCATTAATGTATGACTACCCTACTATTTTTGAGTGTTTAAAACTAGATGATATATAACTTTTATTTATTTATACCTTTGTTCCAAGAAGAATTTGCAGCAGCATATCTTCATCTCTTAGTATCGCCACATGTGTTTATATAAGACATATGTATGATTGAGTATATAAACATATTAGCATCTTGGTGATAGGGTATGAGAAATTGTATTATACTTGTATATTCTATACTGATGATGTAATGCATGCCTGTGAAAGAACACATCTGAAGGAGCCATAGAGAATATTTAAAATATTTATCTAATGAGTTCCAAAGCAGAATAAAAATAACTCATCTGAACTCTTCTATTCCAAGACACTTTGATACTGTAAGACCCTATTTTTATATTATGTCAGGTCAAGCAGATGAGAAAGAAGCTTCCAGTAATACTACTACAACTTTATCTGCTTGCAGGGAGTTCCTGTCTCCAATCATTCTTCTCTTCTCATCCATAGTTGGGGAGTAAAAGAAAACTAGAAGTCAAAAGCATTTGACAAGGAAATGTGAATGGTAGAAAACTAGGCAGTTTTTCAATCCATTGAACTTCCTTACAAACAAATTAGTAAGCCAAATATGCATAGAAAAATCATTTCCTGAGGACTTTTCAAACACAGCATTTTGAAGATTCATCCAGCCTGGGCAACATAGTGAGACCTCATCCCTACAAAAAAATTTTAAAAATTAGCCAGGCATAGTGATGTGCACCTGTAGTCCCAGCTACTCAGGAGGCTGGGGTGGGAGGACTGCTTCAGCCCAGGAGGTCAAGACTACAGTGAGCCGTGATACTGTGATCACACCACTGCACTCCAGCCTGGGACAGAGTGAGACCTTGTCTCCAAAAAAAAAGAAAAGAAAATTCACATTTTATATATTCACAATGAAGAGGTATAGTAGACATCTATACCTACTTAACAGACATACGTAATGTACATATATGCATTACTTTTTGGGTTCAACTTTGCAGAATTTATACTGAAGCATCAGGTGAAAAAATTTTTAAACACACTTAAAGAAAGATAAAATGTTAGGTTATTGATCCACAGGGTAATTTTTAAGGCAATAGAAAAGAAGAAATTACCAAAGGAATGAAAATATTCAGTGTGAACTCTCATGATTGCCGCTAGTTACACTTGATGGAAAAATATTAAATACCCATACGGGGGGAAAAACCCAGCAAGAGACTAAAAGATGGCCCTAGTAGAAAGTAAAATAAATTAATTAACAAATACATATTAAGTTCCTATTATGTGATCCAAGTGCAAGCACTGTTATGTGTTTAGAAGCACAACAAAGAAATATGACAGATGGTCCTTATCCCCCAAGACACTTTCAATGTAGCTGGAAAAATAAGATACACTTGAAACAAAAAAGAATTTGAGCTGACCACAGAAAAAATAGAGGCAAAAAGATACATGTTAAGCCCTACCACGTGCTAGGCACCACTACAGTTAAGTATGCTGAGTTTGCCAGTAGCCACATTATCCTCTTCTTCCTTAGTAACAATACACTAATTTTACTTTGTGCAGGAATGTACCAACTAACAAGCTGCAAGTTCCCAGCAAGTAGTGGTCATGTGACTAAGTTCTAGCTAAAATGAGCTTGTAAGCAGAAGGGTTGTAGGGGACTTCCAGAAGGCTAGGTAAACAAACCTAACTGAGCTGAAAAGCAGGCCACTTTTTCCCTATTCTCTCCCTCCTTCTTCTATCTGGAGTGCAGCTATGAGAGCTGGAGCTCCAGCCGCCATCCTGGACTATGTGGTAATCTCAATCTTGATATAGAAATCACACTAGAATGGTAGGGGGAAAAAAGTGTGAATCCCAGATGAACATGAATTTACCATACTGGCCCTGGACTACCCACCTCTGGACTTCTTTCATGTGAGAGAAAATTAAACTTCAACTTTGTTTATGATACTATTATTCTGGGTTTCTGCTCTCATGCAACGAACTCTAATACTAAGCATTACTCTACTATTATAGCTTAGAAAGGTTAACTTGCTTAAGGTCAAAAAGTTAAGAGGCCAAATCAAGTTTAAACCCACACCTATCTGACTCCAAAATAAAAAGCATTACACCACACTCCTTCAAAATATAATTTAGAATAGATACAAAAACACATGTGAAGGAGTTGTCAAGTTCTAAAAGAAAGAAATTTAGAAGCTAGGCCTTGAATGAGAAGATCTGGAATGATGGGGCCAAAACAGGTTGAGGATAGGGACTGGGGGGCACTAAAGAAGAGTAGGATAAAAGTCTCTATGACAGGAATGTGCAGTGTGTACCTCTATACTGGTGATAAGCAGGAAATAGGGCATTGAAGAACACATTCTATGACAGCCAATTTATATTAAGAAATAAAGAAAAACAAAGACTGAATAGGAAGAGTATTCCTGTTATAAAAGAAAACGATGAAGGAGGGAAGCAACTTGGATTTAGCTTAAAAACTTCTAAGTAGAGATCAAATTTTTAGAAAGTTAGGTTTCAAGGCGATTAGACTGTTAATGACCAGCACACAATGAATAAAAGAAAAAGAATGGAATTGGAGACACCAGCTAGGAAACCTTGTAAACAATGCACAAAGGAGGTGGGGGGAGCCTGGATTACAGTAGTGACAGTGTGTGCAGGGACACGGGAGGCCAAATCCAAGGCATTTCAATGCAAGGAACTGCAGCTGATGGCAAACTAGATTACAGAATAAAGGAAGTTTAAAAGTTAGGATTCTTTTAAGTTTCTAGCTTGGGAAAATGCTGACAAATCCAAACTGACATAAGCAAATCGAATATAAAGATATTACACTTAGCTCTGAACATAACTGTTTGAAATAACTAGCAATTTTTTTTGAGACGGAGTCTCGCTCTGTCACCCACGGTGGAGTGCAGTGGTGCGATCTTGGCTCACTGCAAGCTCCGCCTCCCGGGTTTACGCCATTCTCCTGCCTCAGCCTCCTGAGTAGCTGGGACTACAGGTGCCTGCTACCACGCCCAGCTAATTTTTTGTATTTTTAGTAGAGACGGGGTTTCACTGTGTTAGCCAGGATGGTCTCAATCTCCTGACTTCATGACCAGGCTGCCTCAGCCTCCCAAAGTGCTGGGATTACAAGCGTGAGCCACCGCACCCGGCCCAAACTAGCAAATTTTTTAGTGGAACTACCCTGCAGACAGTTAGAAACAATATTTGACCACAGCTCTAGACTACAGATAGAGAACTTTGAAAATGTTACCAATGATATGAATAAATGATGCTCTCCCAAGGAGGGAAGAACATAAATGGTTTAACCTTTAAATAGCTGGCTGCTGATCAGGCATGGTGGCTCACACCTATAATCCCAGAACTTTGGGAGGCCCAGGCAGGAGAATCGCTTGAGCCCAGGAGTTCAAGGTCAGTCTGGGCAACATAGCAGGACCTCGTTTCTACAAAAAATAAAAAAAATTAGCTAGACATGGTGGCAGGCGCCTGTAGTTCTAGCGACTTGGGAGACTGAAGGGGGAGGACTGCTTGAGTTTAAGAGTTGGAGGCTGCAGTGAGCTCTGATCATACCACTACACCCCAGCCTGGGTAACAGACCAAGACCCTATCTCAAAAATAAATAAATAGCTGGCTGTTATTCTTACAAGGAGGAAAATAATCATTCATTAAATCTGAATGAAAACAAAGGGTCAACATGGGAGGTGGCAGACACTGCCAGGTGCTTCAGTATCTTCTTCCCTTTCTTGCTCACTAGCTGAGCCCGACTGCTGGGAATGGCTTGTGCCACTTAACAAATGACTTCTCAGCCTCATTTGCACATTGCAATGCTGGAGTCGATTTCTGGAAAACCCTCTGCTTTCCTAACAGAGGCACCTCCTTCTTCCTTCTGCCTGGAGTAAGTACAGAGGCCTGGGATATGGCAATCATCTTTTGATCCTAAGGAAGAAAGCCATATGGCAGAAGGAAGACGGGAAGAAATGAAAGTCTGTGATGACAACCATAAGTCAGGGTAGCAACTTTGAACTTATCAGCCTTTGGACTTATTTTTACATGAGGAAAATAAATCCTAATGTGCTTAAGCCACTGTCAGTCAAGTTTTCTATCGCCACTCTGTGTATTCATAACTGAGTAACTAATGAGTAATTAACCTGTGGCCATTAATGGTGGGAATATTCAGGACCAGCGACTTTTAGCTTCCAAGTACATGAAAACATATGTGTATAGCTTCACAATCACAAAAATGTGTATGTATACACCCACACCAACAAATCTATACCTAACCCATTCAGAGTAATAAAAAGGAGTGACTGGATAGTAAAATGACAAACCACTCCCACGAAAAAGTATTATTTCAGTTATACTTAGTTACTATGTCATATGAATAGACTCAAAGTAATAAAAAAATTTTTATTCGTAAGAAACTATAACAGGCCCATATTACAATAAGTGAAGCAGAAACATGTCTATTTGTTTTAATGAGAGATGCTGCTAGACCCCAAAATTGAAGGCACAGTGAAGTAATTCATCACTTCTTGAGTTATTGGTTTAAAAAAATTTTTTTATGAATAGCCTTATCTGTGAACAATTGTAAAATTGTAAAAAACAATTTTACAATGATTGCTAATTCTTAAATCTTAAATGAAGTTTAACAATCAACCTAAGTTATTGTGATTTACCTATGTATATATAAAAGGATCTTATCAAAGAAGTGAATAAAATAATAAAATTTAATGAAAATATTTAAAAAATTAAACTAGTACTCT